GAGGAAAGTTGGAAATATACTGTCTGTGTAGGGATCGGTCTCTCATCTGTCCGAGAGAAATATCCTCATTTTGATATTGACCTAAGAAGAATGTGATTCCACTCTGCAGCTCAAATCATGCCAAAACCACAGTCCCAGAATTGATTGGATTATTGACTTGCTAAAAAGAAAATCTTATGATATTATTTTTGCGCTTACTCAAATTAGAAGGGGGCGCTTATTCAAACAGGGCGCTTAAGGAAATTTTCACGTCAGGAGGGGCGGTTATTCACGCGAATACGGTATGCTTACTGACCATCGCTCCTACTGGAGTCAGTCAGGTGGTAATCCACAGTGGCAGGGGCATGTGTTATGGACCAGTACACCGGGGTAACCCCCTATTCATCTCGAAAGATTTACTGGGTTGTTTATAGTGCACATGAAGCAAATGTGTAAAATCGGCCTACGGTTTATAGTCTTTATGCGAGAAGACTTGCAGGCCAATTGAACCAGTGCCGACATTATGGCTGTAGGTTACAATACCCGTCTTAACCGCTCGGTCATTTGATTTGCATACCATGAACATATTTCAGAGTATATACTGTACTATTAAATACGAGGTTAAGCATTTTGTTATTTTATTTGGTTTATTTATCTCCTTTAAATTATTTTTAAAAGTTTGCTTTAATATTATGAATTTAAAAAAAAGAAAATTAAAAATAACTATGTTGTTTTGTAGTTTTACTGATTACAAAAATTGCCCTAAAATTTTAACATTTTAATCGTATTGAGACATTATAATTACGGATACTTGACTCATACAAGCGCAGCAAATCATTATTACGATAATTAAGAAATACACAAGATTCACCAGTGGAATAGATAATCAATAATCACAATTGATGAATTGATTAGAGAGAGATAATTTGTAACGTTAGCAGCAAAGCAACAACAAAAATCGCCTAAAGATGTTAGTAATTAAACACAGGAATTGAAATGTACAATTAAAATAATTAAAACTCAAACATACTTAATTATCCTTGAATTGAAACCAACAGATGTGACATGAAATAAAAATAAAATAATAATTTCATAAATTAAAACAAAAAATTTAACATTTTCAAAAAGGGTATCTGATAAGTATGAAATACAAAAAAAAAACATTTTCAATTTATAGAATCTAAAGAACTTCCTGATTTAATATATGAAAATGTTTTCAACATACTAAAATGTATAATAATTGAGAAACAATTTCTTAACATAGAAACTAGAAAACTACGATATAGGTCTAAATAAAAAAATTATAACCTCAAAACATAAAAAAGTATTATGAAAATATTTACACTGTAGATACTAAATATTATCTTAAACGAAGGAAAGTTTCCCATCATAGATACTGACGTATCTCTGATAATGTATACATACAAAAAAATCTCACCAAAAAATACCAAAGGTATCTCTGGAAATACAATACATTAAAGAAAATCACAACGTTTTATACTAAAAACTATCGGTTATGAAACACATAATTTTTCACCATAGATTTAAAACGTATCTGTGATAAAAAAAAATAAAAATAAAAATGTGTAACACACAGATACTAAAAGGCGTCTATGATGAAGTAGACAGATAGTTTCTCACTATAGGTATAGAAAGTATCTGTTATTAAAAAAAATACAGAAATTTAAAAAAATATGTCGACATGCATACCGTAGATACTGCAAATTATCTGTAATTTAACAATTAAACTGAACAACAAAACATTCTCACCATACAGTAGAGACACACACGTTTTGTCTTAAAAAGGAAATAACTAAAACATACATAAAACAGAAACCATGCAAGGAGATGTTGAGTACAGCTTAGAAAGCATGAGTAGAGTAACAGACTAAAGTGTTTGGATGATTTTGATGGCCATGGGATAAGTGGTAGTCCCACATAATTTACTGTGAGCCCGAATTAATTTCATGCCTTTTATAAATATGTAAACATCAACCATCTTTTTGTGCAGCATGCTTTTAAATTTTGTTTCCATTATTTTATATACAATAATAATAATAATATAATAATTAATAATAATAATAATAATAATAATAATAATAATAATAAATCTGCAATTATATAGTGCCTCTCGATTATGATAATTTATGTAGTCTTATATCTAGCCACACCCAATTTTCGTTTATGATTCACATACTGTAATTACAAAAGACTACCATTTCCAATGAATAAAACAAAAGATGGCATGAAATAAGAAACATCATTCTAAAAAAATGGCCAGAACCTTTGCATTGCAAAGAATTTCTTGATAATCTATTATCAGAATCAATCGATTCACACAAATTGCAACAAATAATATACAACTGCACACATTAACACAGATATAGATGCCAAAACAATATATGTAAACATATAATATAATAATAAATTTATTACACTGAGATTTATTTAATATATTATTTTAGTTATAATAAGTATATACTTATTATAACTGAAAAGATATATCAATGGGTCATTTAGGAAATTTAAATATAAAATTATAAATCCCTACAAGTGAATCAATCCCACAATATAACATTACATTTACTATATTTCATGATGGTTTTAGTACTTTTGGAGTAAACATTTTTATATTTAATTATAATTTAACAAATACATAGATGTAAAACAAAAACAAATATATACAGATAAATGGCAAATGGACAAAGCATAGAAGAGCATAAGCAAGAAATGAAAAAAAGCTGCAAATCAATTTTGGTTTTGTAATTTTAATTATGATTTGTCTTCAGGTTGTTAAAATTTTAATAGGGTTTCAATGGTGCCAATAGGGAGCATTCACTTTGTGTGACGATGTGACGCAAGAACGGATCCACACAGCCTGACCGTATTACATTCTCTGTGCAACACCGATTCAAGGAGAACTTCTCGCATGCGCAGATGACTTCAAAATGAGGTCATTGTGTTCTACGTAATACCGCACTGCGCAATCAAGAGCTCCACAATAAAGTTTTGCGGGCTAACGGAATGACATACACTATTATTATTTTAATAATTTATTGTCCATTTTAATAATTAGAAATCAAACAGCCGTTTAATTAAGTATTCAATCATTGTTAATTATGTTTTTAAAGATGGACATTAAAGTGAATATTTTCGATAAAATATACAAAGTTTATAAATCCAAAAAGTCTTCCATTTTATTTATGGTTATTCATCATTGAGACCTAAATTACTATAGACCAACATTTTTGTTTTCGGTCAGGATGTTGGATAAGGAAGTAAAACAATAAAAGACAAGCTGGATTGTTTTCTTTAAAGATAATGCAAACCACCAAGTACCTCTGTTTAAACATCTCAAGTTGCTTTGTGAAAAAGTACAATTATATGTTATGGTATTCTCATTAAGTTGTAACGGAACAATTGTACTGCAATTTTTTTTTTTTTTTTATTGCAGAATAGAATTTTTCTTAGGGAAATCCCTGAAAATGAGCTGCGGGATGTCTCAGGCATGATTAAGAAAAACATTTGGGATTGTAGACAGATGAGATGATGGGAAAATCAGACAATGAGTTGGGCCAAAATTTGATTGACAGCTAGACAGTACCAAAGTTGAGCCATAATGTATCAATCAGTACATGATTTCATAATTCTATAGGACTGTAGCTGTGAAAAACTACAGTATGGGTGGCTGGCAGACAGTTGAAGGGTGTTTAAACATTAGTAAACTCTAAATAATAAGATGGATCTTAAGAATGGGCAAGGGGATTAACAAAGGTAGGTGGAGGCCATGTAATTAGCTTTAGATTGGCCCAGGGTGTGGAAAACTTCAATGCTGGGTTGCCCCGCCCACCATAACTATATCCCTGGTTGTGTAGGAGACATAAATGGACATTGTGATACATATAATCCATAATTTTAGAGTAGACACAACACTTTATAGATGGACAATGATTTAATAGTTTGACAACAAATTCGTAGGTGGGTTTTTATATTAACTGTACCTGTATGTAATATCATAGTGGCCTAATAACGAAGAGATCTGAAGCTAGTGGAAGGCTTCTTCGAGCAATACTACTCTGGGGCCGAGTCTGGGTAGAGAAAAATGGGGTAGACAAAAAAGGCCTGCCCTGTTTTAAGGATGTATTTTAATGTTGTTTTTTTTTTTTTTTTCTTAAAAGGCCCCTGCCCATTTAGGACATAAATGCTGAATGTACAGTATATTGCTAGGCCTCTTAAGGTCTGGGGGTCCCTGAATTTAGCCACTAAGAAGTTCTAGCTGTTTTATGCCACTGACCATTAAAGCCATGATGTTTAGTTAGTCCATGATATTCTGAATTAGACAATAATTTATTAATTGGTACATGATTTCAAAGTCCATAATTTTTTTATGATTTTCTTAATCGGGCCATGATTCAATACCTGGTCAATGGTTATATATCGTTACTTTGGTACCTCTGAACATAAAAGCCTTTTAGCATTGTTCTTATTGGTCAGTTAATGTTTGATTGACAAGTCTTGAACATAAAATTGGGCCGACTTTGGGGATTGGGCTTAAAGCGTTGCATGCCTAATGCAAAGCCTAACATTAAAACAAGGCTGGTGCGTAAAATTGGGCGTAAAGCCAAAAAGGGCTAATACTCGAATACTCGAGGAACTACAATTGCGCCATTAAGTTATACCGCAGCAGAGGTGATTGGAAAACCCAAGCATAATCACATGACCTTTATTGGTTCTTTGAAAAAAAATGCATAGATATATTTTTTTTTTTTTTTTAATGTTAGCTGATTTCTTTTAAAAGCATTTTTATTAATCGAATGGCACTTGATTCAGCTTCAAAACTTAAAATTTAACAGTTGTAATTTCTGTAGGAAAAAAAAATGCAATAATCATCAAAATAAAATGATATCAGAGTAAAAGAAATATTTGTTAGTGAACACAAGGTGTTAGTGCATTAGCGTGACTCGTGCTAGGTTAGTAGTGGCGGGTGATCAAGCACAAGACAATATTCGGGCAAGACTCACAAATCATTGTCATCAATCTCAAAATCCGCATGCTTATTACGGCGGTTCTTGATCTTGCGCTGGCTTATCCGTCGCACAATGCCTTTACGGCTGACCGAATCACGCAAACCTTTCAGTTTGTTGAACATTCTCGTTTGTTTGTTTGATAGATTCTATTTATAAGATTGAGACATGCTAGGGTATTCAGGATTATCTGTAAGGGGGAGACGTAAAATGAAGAAAAAATATACATAAACACATACACCATAGATAGTAATAATAGAGTGTCATAAATTAGTATACACATGACAAATGCATTCATTTAAAAGACACAGATCTAGAGAGAAAAGGAGCATAGAATGAATTTAGGTTTTTGTTCCACACCCTCCCCAACATCCCCCACCCCCACATTTTGGTTGCCAACATTTTTTTTAAATCTCTAATTTTTACTTTACTTTGTTATTTCCAGTTTCTTTCATTAAGACATATTCCAAAATAGAGATATAGTACTGTTCCGCCATACGCTAATTTCAGCTCTTGAATTTTGTTGCTAAAATTCCTTGTGTGTTTGTGGGAAATTTTAGCATTGTTCTTATTGGTCAGTTAATGTTTGATTGACATTCCGAAAAGGCCTGAACCACTTGCTTTCCTTTACTCCCTATATTGGACAACACTAAAATCTATCTCTGGATATAATAATATTATATTATATAGTTATAATAAATATGTTAATTACATGCCAATATCATATTCCATAGTAAAAATTTAAAGACATTCTAATAAAATATTCATACAGACAGATATATAGAAACATACAGGACATGAAAATATATAGTAATTGAATATGTATTATCTATGTCATGCACATCGACTCATGAATTATTCATTATCAATAGACGCCTTGCTGATGACTAGGAGGCAAGACATTTTGAACATTACAAATATCGGCACACTGCCAACATCTGATTGATTGCACAAGTGAGTGATATGATAGCATATGATAAAGGTGGAGTTGTATCATCTTCATCAACCTGATTGTCAGCACTTGCAACACCTGGGCATCTACTGTTATCTTAAATAAATATAATGTACAGTAATTGAATTATGAACATGTGGTGTAATAAAATCTTTACATTTTATGTTTTAGATATTCATGATATAGTAATTTATCCCTATATCTCCCGTCTTGTCTAGAATTTCTAGGGCATTTAAATATTCTGCATATAGTGTTTAAAAATGATAATAATATAATTCTATTTGTATTCATTCTTTAGAAAACAGAAATATATATTGCCCTGTTTGTCTAGAATTTCTAGGGCATTTAAAAATGATGATAATAAAATTCTATTTGTCCTCATTCTAATTAGAAAAGAGAAATCTATATCTCCCCCCTCTTTTCTAGAATTTCTAAGGCATTTAAATATTCTGCGGATAGTGTTTAAAAATGATAATAATATAATTCTTCATATGTCCTTATTCTAATTAGAAATCAGAAATTTTGGAGATTTTAATTTTTTTGTTGGTTATAAGAAAAAGCCTGTTACTTCTTGCTCAGATCAAATTCAACACCTTGGGACCGTATGGGAAGCACCTTACCAACCAAAGATTACAAATGTCTATTCTGTTGTTTATGAGTTGTATGGTTCACAGTTCTTCTATCCAGTTTCAAGTGTGTTTTTAATATGAAAAGTGCTAAAAACCAATCTTAAATTAATGAACAACTTTCAATCACTTTGATATTCTTCGGTCATTGCCTAATGGAAGGTCGTTTACAGATCTGTTATCGTGACCTCTGTCTTGTTGTTTACAACTTTATGATCAAAACCCCCTTAACAGGCATTGCTCTTTAATCAATCATCCAATTTTAATTATGCAGGATGTATATCAGCTTTAAATAACCCTTGTCGATAATTGTATGATCTACACTTGAATTTAATGTAGTTCTGATTTTAGATCATTATCAGATTTTTATTCATAGAAATTTGTCTTATCATCATTTACAAACACATGGTATTATTGTAGATATTATGATTTCAGAGGATCCAGCTTAGAACCATTATTAGATTAAGTATTATCATAGTTCTAAAAGTGACCAGACAGGCAGGCTTAAAAAATATATTTTTCTTCATTAAAGTGTGAATAGAAAGATGTTAGATACTCCCTGCATCCACATTAATTTTAGAGTGTAATGAATTATAATGTCGTTATTAAATTATTCATGTACAGGCCTGCCTGTACTGATACAGTAACAAAAGAAATCTACTCCAGACCACTAAATTTCTCTGTAATAAATTTCCCTGGTACATTAAATTCTGATATGTCCTAACAGTATCAGAAGCAACCATCAATATTTAGTGGCATCTGGGGTACGCCCTCATTCTCTCTCCCCCCCATTGTAATGTCCGAAGCAAAGAAGTCACGCTCAAGTAGTTACAAATCACTTCATATCACCTTATTCTGTGAGCTACTTCCCCCCACTCACTTAATCATCAAGCCCCTCCTCCCTATCTCCACCTTGACGCCCCTTCACCCATTTAAAAAAAATTCTAGATACACCACCAATGTTTAAAGGTGTTCGTGTTGGACATGTTTTTCAGTCAAATTTGCCAAACGCTGGTTAGCTTTCACCCAAAATAAATTGATTAAAACAGCATGAAAAAAAAAAAAAAAAAAAAAAGTCCTCTTGTAGAATAAGCTTAAGATGAAACCAGATATATTTTAGCAGGCCGTCCTGTTAATTGTTTGTTTTAATTTGGCTTTTTCTGAAGTATTCTTACTATACATGCTTCCTTTGTTATACAATTCGTTGTAATTTCATAGTTATTGTACAGCTACAGTGTTTGCTAATATTATACGCCAATAATGGCAAACACAGTGGTGGGTCATTAAAGATGCAGTTGGTGATGATGTCATAAAGTAATAAATCAATCCAAGACTAGCTGATAAAAAAAAAGGTCTTCCAAAGAACAAAAGATATAAAAAATCTAATCAATAAAAATGTATTAATCCGTAGTTATTGTACCTGTAACTATACCTCTATGAGAGTATGGTATAAATAACTATTGTAGTTTGTCAAAATAAAGCCTACCTGGGTACAAGCCCAACAATTTTTTTTTTACATTACCAGTCTTTTCTGGGCAAAAGCCCAGGTTAGGACTTTCACAAATATTCTCATTCATTCATTCTTTATTCAGCCAAACATATACATTTACAAAAACAATGAAAATTGGACAATTGATATTTGATTAAGGAAATTCCTTGGGTATAATAGGGGGAGGGGGGATGGTAGGGTGGGCTTATGGTAATAATATTGGTAGATTAACATGCATAATTTCACAACCTCTATGCATTTAACTTCATTACTACTCTGGTTTCAATCAAAAGGTTATGAAACATATATTTGGCTTCCTGGGGAAGAACTCATAGCAAGCATTGCAGATTTGCCTATTGGTGTCCGAACCTACCAGGTACCAACTTATATTCCAGGATGGAGAAAAACAACCGGAAGTAATATGCCTCATCCAGACATTGTCAAAGACCCATGCCATAACACACTATAAGAATAAAGACTGTAGTATAGCAGGTTCCTTCCTTAAACAATGTCCCTTCCATACTTCAATTTGTTTAATGCTTATGGGCTTAAAAATGCTGTTCATCAGATCCAGACACAAACACAGACATTTTCAATACATACTCTATTGAGGTAATGGCTTGAGCAAAAAATTTTAACATTTCAGTTAATTAGAGAAGGGCCTACAAAATCAGAAATAAAGACAATTATTTTTGACATTAAACGAATGCATATATCATTCCTCTTCCGTTCTGACGTTTAAACTGTCATAATATGTCTGTTACAGTAAAAATTGATGTTGGATCTATGTCCGAGTAATTCCTAACTGATTGTTGATGGGTTTTTATACATATTATACACAGACGCCACCTTGCTTAGGAGCAATTAAGCCAAGCTGGTAAGGTAAATTATACATCTAATGCTGAAGGGATAGATGGTTTTCTTGCCTAGTCTATTTATCCCACTTTTTATTCTTATCTTTACCAATGTTACAAAATAATAATTTTGAAGGCTTGTATGTACAGTATTGCATTATGTGGGGAGCGGAGGTCAATTGGGGGAGGGGGCTTGATGATCAGTTGAGGGGGCACTAACTCGCAAAATAAGGTGATTTTAGGTGGCATCCATGCTTGATATCTGTGCCCTGGCTCGTTAGTGGCTATAACGTGTTTATCCCATTAAAAACGTGTTGTTCAAGTTTATATCTTATCGTATTCAATTAACTATAAACCACAACCACCGTCTTGATCTCAATCAACTTATTGCAAAGTCATTTTCACTTGATATAGTTTTATAATTGATTTTCCGCAACATCTACGATTTTATTACAGTCTGCTCAGGCAGTCAATGTGAAACAATGTGCCTGGGAAAATTCTGCTTTTAATATTTACATGGGGGGTCAAAGCAGGTTATGACCTCCATGACCTGCTAATGACCTGATTTTATTTTACCTAGTACTTGTCAAGGAAGAATCTAAGGGGCCAAACTTATCAATACCTATGCACAGATATTCATTTATATAGGTCAGGTTATATAATGTCAATCCATTATTTTTCTTTCACATTTTACTTCTACTTCGTACCTTTATTTTAAATATTTATATTTTTAATATTTCTAAGCTATATTTCTATTTTATTATTTTATACCATTTTAAATTATAATTTTTTTAAATTTTTATTATTACATTTAATATGAATAGGCCTGAGTTTAAAATGTTATAAATTTTACTTTGTATTGAACAATATATTTGTATAAATAATAGGTACACAATACTTCTTAAATACGGTAATACTTGTCTAATATAGTACATGTGGATACTAAAATATAATTACTTGCATTATTTTTTGCCTTAATAGTAGCTTTAGGAATGTGTTTTATTATTATTATTATTATTATTATTATTATTATTATTATTATTATTATTATTATTATTATTATTATTAATCATGTAAAACACTAAAAATAAATTTAATTAGAAATAATTAATTACATGGTTATTATGACAGTATTTATTGTTATTTTATTAATTATTAATTAAATTAATAATAATTTTGAATACTACATGTATTTTTCTAGCTGAAACAGAATAATAAACTTAGAAAGTCACATTAATTAATTCTGTAAAACATTAGAAATAAATTTTA